GAGAGAGAGAGAGAGAGAGAGAGAGAGAGAGAGAGAGAGAGAGAGAGAGAGAGTAAACAAATCAATTCATCAAGTTCATTGAGAAATGAATAGGAAACTAATAATTTTCTCTTTAAACTATATCTACCATACTTTTATATAAATTGACTTTTGAGTAGTAAAAACTCAAACTATAAGATTGAAAGATTGCCTTTGTCATTCATTTGAGTATATGTTGGTGAGACACAACAGTAATGGCTCCTGTACACAGGACGCTGTAATGCTTGCCGCGCGGCGGAAGTTCGCGCGACAGCTAATCAATATGCTGCTTTCTGTAATAACTTTCTAGCTCTTACGGAAAAACAACATATTGATTGGCTGTCGCGCGGACTTCCGCCGCGCAGTAAGCATTACCGCGTCCTGTGTGCAGAAGCCATAACATCTGATTTTAGCAAGATGGAGGACTGTACGTGAGTGAAAACGACTCTAAACTATAAAATACTTCAAATTCATCATCATTTGTCTTGTCAAAGTTCATATTTATTAAATTTTTCTCATGGCAGATTTAAAGTGCGTCTGACTTGCCGTTGAGTCATATTATTAGAAAATAGAAAGGTCTCAACTTTGTTGATAAAATTCAGAACCAACACACAAGCACATCCGTAACATGTTACGTTACGTTAAGTATTAGGAAGTTTTTGCAAACATACGGCAAACATACGGTAAACGCTAAAATGACTAGCTAAAATATGGTAAACGCTAAAATGACATACTAAGTCTATGGCCGATATTCATAGTCGGATCTTATATTTAAGACCGCTTAAGTTTATCTTCAGATGATGTACGGATTATTTCATTGGCTACGGAGTATCTAAAGATGAATTTAAGCAATCTTAAATATAAGATCTGAGAGTCAATTCTGTATCTCAAAACGAAGTGAAAATTATAAAAGTGAGCACATTCACTAGGCACTGACCAATGAAATTACGAATATTCTAGTATATTTGCTCACTTTTGTAATTTTCACTTCGTTTCGAGATACAGAATCGACTCCCTGACTATGAATACCGGCCTATGACTTAAACTTAAATCAACGTACAGAAAAATCTGTAAACTTTAACATGTTCTTGTGCGGAGGCTTTTAGCTTGATAAACTATCGCCTGATCTGCTGTCGAATGACGTTATTTCAGGATAGATATCTCTCACCTTGCACAGAACACATGTTATGTGCATCGACAGATTTGAAATTCGATTGGATTAGGTTAGGTTGGGAAGAAGTTGGCAAAGGTTAGGTTGGGTGGTACTACTACCACTGCTACGCCGAAACGGACCGGACCGTGGTGGCGTACGACGCGTCTGGCAACACTGACGTACGTGCGTGCTTGCATGCGTGCGCACGAGCTTCCAAAATCATCGGGCCGTCACCTGCCGTCATCTGTGCCGACAAACGAGGTAAGCAACAGCCGTTACTACGAAACATTGTTAATAAAGGGAAAAAGCGCGTAATCGCGACGTAATCGACACAAAGCGGCCGCCGGTGTGGTAATGCGCGCCGTCTGTCACGCGTCGCGCCACCCGCAAATATGTTCGTCACCGACGTTACGTGCGCGTCGCGTCGTAGCGTGTCACATCGTGTGGCACGTTCGTCTCTGCGGTGCGGATGAGCACGCAAGCTCGACGTATTATCGTATCCTCGAGGGATTTATGAGTCCGCCTTCTGTCAATCGAATATCATCGTCGATTCTGATCATTCGTTATGTCTCGCGTCTCAGTCCCTGCTCCCGGTTTCCCGCCGCAGATTACTGCTCGACAGAAGGCGTGCTTGCCCGTTGCGTTTTTACATAACGTTGTTAAGGCGCGCTACATTTATGCGTATACATTTTGTCTGTTGTTTACGTCTTCGTCGGCATCGGCATTGTATCGTATCGTGTTGTTGTGTCACGTCACGCGAGCATCGGTTGGGTATCACCTGTCATGGCGCGTAATGTCGCCACTGCCGCCGCTGCAGTCGCAGCGGTTGCATTTCTTTTTGGCTATACAGCGTTGTATATCTAATATATATGTGCATGTCGATACTACACTTGTGCAGCTTGGGCGGAAAAAACGATCAGGGAAAAGGTGGTGATCGAGTACACCAAGTATTGTCAGAGCAAATGGATTTTTTTTTCGTTTCGTGTGTAACTCGTCCTAACCTAACCTAAGCTTTAACGTACGCGATATACAATTCGCAAGAGCCGCAACGAGTGACATTCGCGACCGTTGCCAGTTCCATCGTCAAGAGGCAGGAGGCGGCAGTCATGGCGGCTACTACCAATTGCCACGCGCCATATCGCGGTTACGCTCGCGCACGTCTTCGCGCATGTCTCGTGCTCCCGTCGGCCCCCTGCTCCGTAGCGAGTGCACTAGCGCGAGGGGAAAGCGTATGTTTCGTTAACCTCTCGCTGGCAAACGCTCTCTTCACATTTACATTTTTAATAACGATTTTACCGTCTAAACGTAATGATAAGAGTTAGTATTAATATTCCTAGATAAATAACTTGATTTTTTTTTGTAATCGGTTCACACGACATTGTTATAAGGCGTTCTAATTGCAACATGTGTGTCGATTGATCGTATCAGTATATTTGCATGCTTGGCCAGAGCATTTTATAGATGCTCGTGTAGCGAAATCCTTTTTCTTCATTTCCCTTTTCTGTGTAAAATTATCTCGAAGAGACTACACATTCGCACTTGGATATATTTGATCGTACAGGCGTTTAAAGAAGCGCGATATTTTTTTGAACGCAGTGCGTAGAACAGCGTTGCGTGCCGACAAAACACACGGTGGCTAAAAATAGCGCGGCGAAAAACACCAACGTGAGTGCAATGCGCGGATTATTATTATTATGCGACGCGTGTCTTCTCGAAATAACGTCGCTTTTTTCGCGCATCCACATTTATTTCCGACGAAATCATTTTGTCGAGTCGGCTCCTATGAGACGAGAACTTGATCAGGAATTTGCACAAAACCAAAGATTTTATTTATTATTTATTATGCGTGTGTATATCACTTCTCTTATTTTATTTTATATAAAATAGTTGATTCTCTTTCATTTATGTCATATAGTATAGACTTCCCAGAGAAACTTTTTGGTGTGAGATATTGAAACAAAATTGAATAAATAATCATTAAACGCGGCAAATATACAAAGCAATTGGTTGATTATCCTTTACGTTATTGTTTCAAGTTATCTTTCATTCAGTATAAAGAGACATCGATATCCCAAATATCGACATTATTTCAATCGTGTGAGATAAACGGCTAAACAGTCACTACTGACATCTCTCTTTCGCGATTGTCTTATCTCGCGATGGGAGATACGTTGCAACCATTAATTGCACCGATACGTACGGCCTTCGGAATCGGTCGAGATTGATTAATGATTGACCGAAAACATCACGACCATTCGCGGTAAATAAATAAGGCATTTGCAAAGCTACGTTCTCTCGCGCATATAGAAAAGTACATAAAAAATAAAAACAGCGAGTAAACGTTACTTGATTCAAGTATTTCCGGAAATTTCATCACGTGTTCCTATCGTGAGCATAAAATTTATTCATTACATTTATTTATAAAAGAAAAATCACGTTTACTTATTACATACAGTAAATTTGTTCTTCGATAATGTTTTATAATATATTTTTGTAGAGAGAATAAATTTTTTTGGCGTGCATAAGATAATGAGCTTTCCCAAAATTTGCAATGAATATATTTGAAAACTATTATCAAGAGAATATATACTTTTAGTTGAATATATACTTTTAACTGTTACTTAAAAGAAGGAAATTTCTTCTAGAAGGCGACGCGCAACAGTCTAAATTGATCCCATGATAGCATGAAAATATGAGAGTTTTCGAATCAATAATTTAATTTATTAGGGGTTTTTTTACTTTCTTCAATTGTCCTATATATCGCTGTTCTAAAACTTATTCGACAGTAATATGTTTTTTATTAATATCGTTGTTTAGACGAGATATCGAGTGTGTATGATTTTACTAAATCAATGGTTTTCTTTTTTTGGCGGATCTTTATAATTATTTTAGTTACTTCTTCCTTTTTTTCGATTTCTGTCAAATTTCATATCGATTACCAATAATATTAATAATATTCAGCTGTAACAGTATTACAGCGTTAGAACTTTGTAACACTACAGTAACATTTAGTATTGAATTTCACGTGAAAAGCGCATACTCTTGAAAAATGCGAAAATTGTGATCTCGCAATTGAAAAATTTGTCCTTCAATATCACGTTCGTGGTTGTCGTTGTGGTACCACGGTTTCTCGTCTTGAGCGACGGTGGCAGCGCGGGGCCTTGTTTACCGAATTTCTCAAAAGCGGGTCAGCGACGTCACGATTCAGATGGTGGCCCAATAAGGGACATGGTGAAGGAGGAGGGAATTCGCGGTCTCGATCGCCCGATTTCTAGAGGAGCGAGTGAGAACACGACAGACTCGTTCTCCTTCGACAATAAGGTGTATGTGCATTCGTTCTCGTTTCGCCAACACTTTCTTCTTTTGCGGATGTTCATCTCTTTTAGGGCATGGTACCACTTTTCCTCTTTCTTTTACACACACACACACACACACACACACACATTTTTGCTAAGTTTCATTCACTTCGGATTCACGAGGGAAGAGAGAGAAAGAGGGGGATGGGAGGGAGAGAGAGAGAGAGAGAGAGAGAGAGAGAGAGAGAGA